TTGAGTATATTTGGGACATATAGTTTTCTCTAATTTTTATTGTCTTAAACTCTGAATATAATTTATTTTCTCTTTGATCTATTAAAGACAGTATTTTAATTTCTAGTATTTTATTAATTTAAAACTTATCCTTTTGTTATGAATTGTTCACCTTATTGCCTGTTGGTCAAAAAAAATGTAGTCTATAGTGTGTTATAGTCTTATTATGTCCTATATTTTTGTATAGGTTTCATGGATAGTTGAAAAGCATATGCACATTATTAAAATTCACTATCTTTTTAAGACTAGTTTTTATGAAATTCTGATTTTTGTATTTTTGCTTTATCTATTTTGGTGTGGCTGTAGGAGGATGTGAGTACGGCATTTACCTACACTACCATCTTGACTGGAAGCCTCTGTCTTGTTATTTCTTGAGCTTTCTGTTTCTTCCTCGTGTTCCTTCTCTCACCTTTCCCTCTTCTTCCCCCTCCCCCTATATTCTACTTCAGCTGATATCCGCTTCTTTGGCTTCACTTACTATCAGTTATGACTGGGACTTCCAAACCTCCAGTCCAGACCACTGTTTTGAGCTCTACACTAACATACACATCGTTTTCTTGACATTTTTATGTGACACGTCCAAACTAGTCAATGACTTTTCCTTCACGCCCAGCCTCTCTTCCACCTCACCAAACTGCATTAACAACGACCATAACCTGAGGGTCATTGTTAGGCCTTTTCTTCTCTTATCCCTGACATCCTAACATCCCCAAATCCCAATGATTCTGCCTCCAACTTATTTTTGGAACTACTCACTTCTTTCCACCCCCACTGCTAACCACCTGGTCTGAATGACCACCGTCTCTTGCCTGGACAAATAACAGCGCCCTCCTCACTAGTGCCCCAGCTTCTACTCTTGCCCTTTTAAAATCTATTTTCCATGCAGCACCCAGAAAGAGCTTGCTGTCATATACAGTGGGGCCTTGACTTACGAGTGTCCCGACTAACGAGGTTTTTGAGATACCAGCTGCCTCTTGGCGGATTTTTTGCATTGAGTTGATAGAGTAATTTGAGTTAACGAGCTCCTTAACGAGCTCGGTCTCTGAACGAATTAAACTTGTAAGTCAAGGCCCCACTGTATATGTGATCATCGCACTCTCTGCTTTAAACCTTCCAAAAGGTTCTTCCATCCTTTGGATCAAAAATCAAACACCACGTTATAACCTACGATACAAGGCCCTTGTGGCCTGTCCTGTACCAACCACCGCTCAGAGATAACAATCCGTGGCACTAACAGGTACTCAATAAATGGGTCAAATGGAAATGATGCTCAGTTAGTCCATCGCTGCCCTGATGCAGGCATAAAGAGATGGAGGGTTGGAGTCAGCAGATCCAGATTTAATATAACACCTATTAAATGTGTCTTTTGGCAAGTTATGTGACCCTCAGTTTTTTCATCTGAAATATGTGCATAACAGTGTCTACTGTATGACCTGTAGCGCTGCTGTGAGGATTAAATGACAGAAAAGACCTAAACACTTGGCATCATGATGAGACTATAATAAGACTTTAATGAGTAATAGGCAGCTAGTATGTATCTATAGAAATTATACACACACACACTTTGGTGTTCACCTTCACTTGGCTTAATGGTTCCACTGCCCCAACTCCGAGACCTCAACCTGGGTGTTCTTACCGATATCATGTCTCAAAAGCACAGTCTGAGTCTCTCACATTCTCTGACCAGTTCCTACCACACCCCAGCCTCGTCTGAGCATTATAAACCTGTTAGTGATTTACACTGTCCTCTATTACACTATAATATACATTACTTTATATTCCAGCCACCTCCTCTTCTCTTAACCCTGACGTCCTAACATCACCTGAAAATACAAACATTCCCCTCCAGCATCATACAGTGGTTCCTAGCAGCCTCCATTCCACCCGCTGCCTCGGAGGTCTGTGAATAGCAAGTACGCACAGGTCGTTACAGATACCGCACGTGCTGAGGCGCACAGGGCCGACGCCTCTTTGCACTCATCGTAACATCCTCTGAGCACAGGTGAAAGAAGTAACCGCTCTCGCGGCAAAATGAGCCGCCTTTAAAACACAGAAAGGCAGGAACAATGAAATCTTGATCATTTTTATTATTTTTATTTGGACAACATATATACATATGTACAAAATACCTACTGTCAGAATCCTCTATTATAATTTTGTTTGATTTACAAAAACAGGACAGCAAAATAACTTAGGTCACTAATACTGTACAAAAATAAAACTGATTAAACAGTTGTAAAGATCAGTATCTTACAGTGTTACAGATCATCCGTGTGAGAGAACATTGCAGGCTATCCAGAGTGATGAGTACTGTGCTAAATCTATCTGCAAACTTACAACTAATCAGTTTCTGTAATTATAACTACCAAATGTAATTCTCAAAAAAAGCATGATGTAGAGACAGACCTTAACGCCAGGGCATCGTTCCACAGTGGTGAAGGGCTTTCGTCTTCCCTAACCAAGGAGAGGAGTTATCTTAACTCTAAAACTATTAAATGTTTCCAGAATATGACAACTACTTACAGTATTAGGTAAAACAACGTTCCTTTCTGTTTAAACACCTGCAATAGTCTTTCAAAAAATTCCGTTTGGTTAAAAAAGTAAACAAAAATTACTATCCTGCATTTGGATTTTTTAAAGTTAAATCCATGGTCTTTTTAATATAAAAAGTAATTGCTTCATAGTTTTAGTAAGTTCAATGAACTCTAGTAGTCCTAGTTGAACCAAATCTTCATATAGTAAATCTAATTAGAATGCTGGTTCCTGTTTTGTGACATTTTAAAACAGGATTTATCACAAAGAATAAAAAGCCTTGAGTTTATACGTTACGTTACTATAACATATAAGAGAATATCAAATGTGTGTTTGTCAACACCTTGAAAAGGCAAGGAGCAACTTTTTGGGGGAAGTAAATTGTGCATTTTTCTTTTTTTCAACAAGTTGCTGCATTTACATCCATCTAAGTGCTGGACAAAAGCCACATACAGAATTACTCCTGAAACTACAAAGATTGTCTTTCACTGACTTTGCCTGGTTTTTCTTCGTTTCTTTCTGTGAGGGAAAGATGAGTCTGTACAAGTTGGTGGGTTGCTAGGCAACCCCAAACTCCTCTCTCACCAAAAGGCCGCGCGCAGAGGGTCACAAGCAGAACCACTCCGTGAACTCTGTCAGAAGCAGGCGGCCTCCCCTACTTCGAATGGAAGAACAGATGTCCTTAAAACTTATTTTGGACACAGAAATTAAAATTTGGTTTAAAATAAGCGTTTCAAAAATCTGAAACAGAGGTAGAAAGTGTTCTTTTATTTTTCCTGACATGTTTTCCCGTGAGAAAACACTTTCCGTTTTATCCCATGGACTGCTCCCAGTCCCTAATGTTAAAAGCAGTTCTCTTTACAGAACTACTAATACAACTATGTTGGTTAAACAAAACAAAAAGGAAAAAAAAAAAGCAAAACCCACCATGCTAGTGATGGCTACTGTGTTGGAAGCAGGAGTCAGCCGTGACCCACGCCTGCGGCAGGAGCCACACGGGTTCTGAACTGGAAACGAGCATGTATCGGGGGAAATAACGCGTCCGCTGGCAGGGGGGCACCCTAGGTTTACACAACACATCTTCTAGCACATGTGTAAACGCCAGTGCACCAGGGCTCCCTGTTTTAAATACCAGATAAAATTGTCAGAAAGCGTTATTTCTGAAGAAAAAAAAAAATGTAAACATTTTCCCACCATCACTGCTGACTCCCCCATGTGAGGTTTCTTCTTCACTATGAAAACTCAGTTCGTGTTTTTGACCGTGGAAAGGCCAAAATGAAGTTTTCAGGTAAATGGCGTGAAATGGATGTAGTGGTTTAGGCCATTGTAGACACCTGGATACAAGATACATAGTGGTGAGGCTTCGGATGTATCAGGTACAGTGATGTGTTGTCATCCGTGTGGATCCCATGTGCCGGCATTGCCGTCTCCTCTGACACCATCGTGGTATTTCCCCTTGGCACTCACTGCTTATGGGGTATATTTTTCTTTTCACAGTTCAGCTCCCTTTTCGTTTTATATAACTCTTGCACCTGTTAGTGGGAGTTTTGTAGGAACATGGGAAGGAGACCAACACACCTTTCCCCCCAAAAAACAAAGGTGTTTCCAGAACTAGCTACTGTTATGCATCCATTCAAATAAAACCCACCAGAATCAAAGCCCTCTCCCTTCGTGGCATTATGGTACAATAAGGTGGCGTGAACTAAAAGAATCGGAAAATTTGGGAAAGTTAATAGAGTCAAAATTCTGTTTGTTCTTTTTAAATTATTAAAAAACAAACAAACAAACCTACCCTCCTTCTCCTTCAGCATCTATTGCATATATTCTGCCCTCGCATCTTCTGTGATTTCTTAGGGAAACGTGTATACTGTAAAATAAGCAGATTATAACGTGGTTCCAAAAAGAATGTCTGCTTCTATCCTTAAAGCATGAACGTAACTTATTCATCCTCTGCATTACAACTTAAAGTGCAGCTTATGTTCGGAAAGTACAATTCATACAAAGCAAGGTTTAAAAAGTTCTGTACTTAGTGTAACCTTTCCAAGGTTTGTCTTGATTAGTATAAGTTCAGACGGCTTACCCATTCATCGACTATAAGTAACGTGTGTGTTTCCAAGTCTTTAGATGACAGGTCATGCTGGAGGAGGTGTGCTCTTGCTTGCATAAAGACAGCTGTGCTATGGCGTTTTTGTCTCAAAAGTTAACGTGATTCAAGAGAGTGGTTTTGCTAAAGAAACCGAAGCACACTCGTCATTACATTAAAAGGTACGAAAACAATTCTGAGAGACAGCAAGCAGAAAGGGCCCGGAATCACTGTGATGCCACAGGTCAACTCACCCAGTCACACGTATGTACACCAGTGTTGAATCTTTAAAATTCTGCCCCA